AAGAGAGGACAGGCTCCGTGTATTTTATTATTATATAGAGTCGTTATTCATTTGTTTTAAAGCTTAATAAATAACAAAGAAGACCTTTGACCGGCACTTTTATAATTTTGTCCGGAAGATTTAAACTTTTACACACGTTGACCGACGAAAAACTCTGCCCGGTTCCCTCGGCCCCCACCACGGTGAATAAACAGAAGGGCAACCTTGACAACCATGCTTCTTCGCTGCTTTTGTGGAGGAAGTTACAGCGCCACGTACAGGCTCTGCATATGTACTGCAGCTTTTTCCAGTGGTTGGAGCTAAACGGAGCTGTCTCGTGTGAACAGACACTATCCGGTGTATATTGCGTGTGGACGGAAGCTTTTTTGCGATTGCGATTGCGTTAATCCTATGCGTTTTGCCGTATGCGTTCCCGTGGGGCACCAGCCTAAGACTGCAACAAACAAACGCTCCAACATGCCTTAAAGGAGGAAGACAAAATTACAACTGAACCACTGTTTCCCCGAGCTGAAACATTTATAGAAATCCACACAAGTTTACACTGCACCTTGGATTATTGTCTTTGTTGAAAAAATATTCATTATTATGTATATTATTATGTTACCGCGGTGAGGCCATCCACTGCCTGAATTTCGTTGTTTATGAAATATCGTTTTTCTGGTAAAGATGGCCTTGAGTGAGGCGATGGTCGTGAAAGATAGGGGAGCGTAACCACGGTTCTGCACCAGGCAGCTCATGATACTGAAGACTTGTAAAGGGAGGGGTATTTAGTTGGTTGCATTCTGCATCCTCCCCACTAGATGGCACTAAATACCAAACACTAGAGCTCTAAGTAGTTCCCTGATACTTTCCAAACACTATAAGTAAACACAATTTTTTATTGACATATAAATGAAACCTACAAAAATGTTCACAAAAAGACGATTATAGACATATTGACAATAGTATAAACCTTATATAGATCCTATTCTCAAACAATTCTCAGTACAGTCTTCATCAATCCATTTTAAGCAATCCGCCACAAAGTACTTCACTCAATTAACCCCAAAACAAATTATATATATCCCTGATCATGTGATAGAAAATTGAATAAAAGCATACAATATATATACTTTTAAAGGGGAGAGAGTCATTTAAAAACTCATCCCCTTCTAGGCTCCTGGAAGTCTCATGCAGTGCTGCCTCTCTGGAGGCTACACAGAACTCAGCAGGCAGGCGGCAATCACAACCTATCAGCACGTCTGCTGCAAAACGACGGGCAGAATACAAAGCAGTGGATCAGAGAGAAAATAAAATAAGGCAGAGATAGATTTATTTTCGTCCGTGTGGAGGTTAGAAGTTTGACTTTAGCCAAGTGGATTGCTTTTCTTGGCTGAGAATAACTACACTGCATGTCATGTTTTTTGCTGTGGCTGGTGAACTAGTCAAGTAGCCTTGTAGTTTTGCTGAAATTATTTAGTTACCTTGCACGGCATACCCGCGACATTACAAAATCACAGAAGAATTGATAGGTCAAGCAAAAATCGATCTGGTCAGGCTACAAGTACTGTTATACAGCAATGGCAGGTCATAAATTGTTTAACATAGATAATTCAACAGCATAGGTTACATCAGAAATTGAGAGTATCGTCTTTTGCCGACTGACTTCGCCAAGATATTTATTGGCTAGTAGGAGCACTTGCAAAGTATTTTTAAGTTTCCAATGATGATCTTGTGTAAACAAACCATCTGGTGCTTCAGGCTAATTATTTAGAGGTCAGTCAGGGTTTCACCCACATCCAACTCATCCCATACTCCCAATGACTCACAGGGTGAATGCACTTTCACAATACCAGACTACAGTGGTTTGTGGTGTCTTAAAGCTGGTGCAAGTGGTGTGTATGTGTGTGTGTGTGTGTGTGTGTGTGTGTGTGTGTGTGTGTGTGTGTGTGTGTGTGTGTGTGTGTGTGTGTGTGTGTGTGTGTGTGTGTGTGTGTGTGTGTGTGTGTGTGTGTGTGATTTGTCATTACGATGCCCCCGGGGCAGAGCAGGACAGGATCTTCTAACAATCTGATTAGCCAGCTTTCATTTGATAGCCGCATGCAGCAGGCCCAGTGACCAAGCTAAAAACAGACATAACAGAGGGGAATAAAGGGGAAGCGGTAGTGCGTTTCAGGAGCAGTAAAGTTCCAGTCAAGTTTTTATAGGTCATATGTAGCAGTAAGAATATCATAAATAAAGAGTTCCAACTCAAACGGTTGGCTATTAGAAATGTCCATTTCCCCCATAACTGAGTGACAAGCTCCTTCATTTCAGGTATTAGTAGTTGTGTGTGATAAATAAGGATATATTCAGCACTACCCTCACCAGGACAATTAAATTAGCTTTAGCAGAGGTCTAGGATGTACAAGCAATGTTTATTTAAAAGATGACTCTTCTCTTCCTTCCTTTCTAAATACTTGCATATAGTAATTTTTTAAAAGAACACTTACACAATACAATACATACCATATGAAAAACATGTTTTTTTCTAGCATTTACCGAAACCAATTACTGCCCACCAGCCTATGTTGTTTTTCACAGCAGTAGGCCGTTCTCTATAACTCTGAAATAAAATGCCTCCGGTACTACTTAATGCAAATCCTGCAGTGAATCAGATATGGTGGTTCCACTGCAGCAATTTCTCATGTGTGAATAAGAATGGAGGCTTGGAGGATTGGTAGAAATCGATGGTCCTGATGGAGTTAACCTGTTAAGCCCTGAGCCTGTTTTTCAGGTCTCAGGCTCGAAAATGACATTCCCAGAACAAATGACCATATCTTCCCTTCTAAAAGGGTTAAATTAATAATCTTTTTTCTCAAAGTAATGATAAACCTGTAAGTTGGATGTAGAAAAGTCAGAATCAATATAGATGTTTTTTATTTTAAAGACAATTCAGATTGAACATAGTAAAAAACTGTAAATTATAGTGTCCGTCCAAAAATTCTTTTTTACTTATAGTGAAAACTACCCTTGGATGATGGTAAGGTAGACTAAAAGCTTTAGGAATCCAAAGTACAACATATAATAAGTACCCTGAATCAAGATTGGTGCAAAACAAGCGACATTTGACCTTTTTAGAGAGGTTTAGCAAAAAAAACTCCACTGCGTTACATTATGTGATCCAACTGAACCGAATCTCCCTGCAGATGTAACTTACAGGCGAATACAGTGATGTCCTCTCACAGTACCATGGAAAAGTGAAAGTGACCAGAGAGGAGTGATGATTGGTTAACGCGGGGTAACATTTCAGGGTAAGCCAATCAGACACAGAGTTGGGCGGGTCTTGCCTTATGGGGAAAATACACAGACACACAAACACTTGCTAACACACACACATACACGGCAACGCCCACCACCAGCACACACACAATGGCAGATGCAAGTATCAGCGAGAGCAGCAGCGCATTTACAACTTGGATATATAACCACTATTTTCAATTTGTGGGGATAAAGGACGCAAAAAATATTACGGTCAAATGTAAACTGTGGACAGAAAGCATTGTCCACATCGAATAACAGCAATGCCAATCTCCTGAAGCACCTAACTAATGTACATGGGGCTATGCCACAGAACAACACAAAAACTTGTATTTTTATTGTTATTATTTTTAAAGTAAAGTAAAGTAACTTGTTACTAGTTACTTTTATAATTTAGTAACTAATAAAGTAACTAGTTACTTTTTTGAGAGCAGTAACTATAACTATTACTAGTTACTTTTTAAAAGTAACTTGCCCAACACTGTTTATGAGTGAATTTCGGTACAGTAATCTGTTAGCATTTTTCGCTCGTTGCTAATTCAGAGGCTGAGCGTTAGCATTGTGGCTTTTATTTTGAAAAAAAAAAAAAAAAGATCAGTTAGATGAGTTTCTTCCCATTACATGGATATAAAACATTCATAGTTTATTAAATGAACATGCCCTCAGACACTGTTTCCTGCAAGATGTTGCAGGAGGGCCCCGGTACCGGGGTCTCTCGGGCTAAACAGGTTAAGAATTTTTACTGAAAAAAGCATCATAATGTCAAGTCATTAGCTGATAGCTCTGAAATTCAACTAACGCTAACCAGGTCTTCTACTGTGGTTTCAACTACCATTACTTTTTCTAAATGTGGCATTAAGAGTGACCAAGGAATAGAAGGCATTAATGCTCAATCACATCTTTTTTCTGGATATCAGCCGATAACAATCTGCAACTCATCAGGTCTGGTTATAGTTTAATTATTTTCTAACAGTTTTGGGTCAAAGAAGTTGCTAGATGGACTAGCCTTACTTGATAAATGGGCAAACGTTGATATGTGTGTTGTGCTGTTTTTCCATATTCCTTATGGCAAACCGACAACAAACTAACAGAACTCACCAAAAACATATTTATCTTTATTTCATGTATTTGGCCACTTGGGGGCAGTGCAACAAGTTGCTAACCAAATAGACATATTATCACCTTATGTATTTGATGTGACAAATGTGTTTGAGAACGGTCGCTTGAAGACTTGAGACCGAGGCATATACAGTATGTACTGAGCAGGGCTTGTGATTTAGTGTTCTCTCGGGACAAACTTTATAAAAACTGCTTCGGAATTATCTCAAAGAAATTCTATAATTTCTGTGTTTCAGAAATGTATCAAGAGCTTAAATAAGACAATTATTGGTTTAACTTGTTTTCTTCTTAAGGAAACAATGTAAGAAAAAGCCAGATATTCACAGAAGAGCTGTACCCGATCTGATTTTCTAGACATCTCTGTGTTTTGTCAGCAACTGTTTTGTTGATGTGAGCGGCTCCGTCTCCATGCACACTTTAGCGCTGCATCTCTCTCTCCGCCCTCCCTCCAGCGACACACACATCCTCTTTCTCCTCCTCCTCCTTTCATTCACACATTCTCTCCCTATCCTCCTCCCTTTTTCTGCCCGCCTGCTCCTTACCGTTTCTCCTCTACCCTCTCCTCCCTTTCCCTCTCTCTCCGCTCCTCGCTCCCCTCCTACCGTTTGGACTGCAGCAGTCTCTCCTCAGCGTCCTGCCTTTCTCTCAGCAGCCTCTGCAGGTGAAGGATCTCCCTCTGGTAGGAAGCTGTCCTCCCCTCCGCTGCCTCCTCCAACCCTGCCAGCCTGGTTGACGCTTGGCTCCGGTACACCTGCACATACAAACACACATAAACACACAGGAATGAGATGTGGAGTGTTGCTATGAAGGAGGAGGATTTCCATGAAGGACAGCGCAGCAGAGACAACTGGAGTGGAGGAGGGGGAGTCACACACATTGGAACAAGGTGAGGAACGACACACACACACTAAACTGCAGATCTTCTGTGGAAACGCTGGTGTGGCTGCATCTGTATGTCTAAGGGCTTATTTGTTTGGGTGTGTGTGCAGCCAATGACAGTTCTAGACCGGAGTTTAAGTCGTTGTATCAGCAGATCAGCAGCTGTTGAGCTGCGGACAGTTCAGAACTACTGCAGTTAGTGCAACACACACACACACACACACACACACACACACACACACACACACACACACACACACACACACACACACACACACACACACACACACACACACACACACACACACACACACACACACACACACACACACACACACACACACACACACACACACACACACACACACACACACACACACACACACACACACACACACACACACACACACACACACACACACACACACACACACACACACACACACACACACACACACACACACACACCACACACACACACACACGTGGCCTACATGTTTCCTGTTATACGGACTAGTTACCTCAGTTCATGCAAAATAACAGCCTTGTCAATAAAGTCAATAAAGCAATAGAAGGGCAATTCAATTAATGAAAGAATAAAAGAAAGAAAACACTGATTAAGATGCACAAAATAGAAACAGAGAGGGTGGATTTTGCTGCTCTGCAGTTAGAGATGTATTCATGGGAAAAACAAGGTCTGTCTGAGGACAAATGCTGTGTGTGCCTGAACTCTGTGTGTAGGAGTATATCACTGTCTGCTGGATAAAGGGTAACACAAACAAGTTGTTTTGACCCTTTACTCTGAATAATTATGGATTCTCAAGTAGCCGGGCTTGTCTGGATATGACTCCGAGATATTTTGTACTGGAGCAGTTAGTCTTGTGTTGTATTACTTGTTATATATTTAATATCTATTCCAGCCTATTCCTTCTTTCTATCTAGTAATGATGATACCAGATGAGGTGAGCTGTAATTATCTATAGAGATAATGTACACACAGCACATTTGACCCCCGACTGATCCTGTCTATTGTACCCAGAAAGCAACAGGGAGCAACCACCAAGCACTGAAAACATGGCTTCTCTTTGTAGAGCTTTTATCACAAAACTGCCAACAGATATCAAATGCTTTTTTCTTAGCCAACGAATCACAACCAAGGAGACATTCATGGTAACATAAGTGCCACATTAGTGCATCAGGTAGATTAAATGAATAGTTGAGTGAATTACTTTTCTCATCTAAATGACTCTAGTCCTATTAGTGTTGTGTGTGAATGACTTGTTAAAAATCCTCTGGAATGTCATGATTAACTTTATTACCTCTTCCATGAGTAAAAACAATGTTATTGCCCTTTATCTATACATTTTCTTAAGGTTTTAGTTTAAATACATGCACTTGTAATTGCAGTTTTGTAATTCCTACACATTTTCCACGTTTCTTTTAAAGAGCTTCTATTATGTTTTTCAGGGTTTTCCCTTTCCTGTAGTGTTTCATTTAGGTTTCTTTGCATGTAAATGATCTGCAAAGGCTAAAATCCCAAAGCTCACTCCAAAAGGAGTCGACCAATCACAACAGAGACAGCCAGCTAACCAATCAGAGCAGACAGAGGGTGAAAAGAGGTGCTGCAACACAGGCAATATGAGAAAAATAAAGAGCTTTTGGAACATTAAAGCATGGAGACATGTCACAGTAGAAAATTTCAATTATGAAACCTGAAATTAAGCATATAAGGGCGACTTCATTCTTAATTAGGCGCTTTCACACCGCAGTACTTTTCCCACTTTAGTTCCAATATAGTTCCGAAATGTTGCGTTCACACCAAAAAAATCCAGAACTAAAATGAGTTCATGAGAACCTTTTCACCCCCTTTTCCGTCCCTGCTAGAGAGCAGGGACTTTCGTGGGAGAAAAAGGTTCCTATGTCTAATTGGCTGGGCGGAATGCAAACTACGCCCCGTAAAACTCCCAACAAGTTTTGTGAAGCCGCCATTTTATTATCTTCACATTAGCATTATTAGCATTAGCATTAGCCCAGCGCACAAACGCAGAGAGACTAACTTATGGCAACACAAAAGAAAACATGGGAGCGGTGGAGATGAGGAGGTGTCGGTGTTCTGGCGATTTACTTGGAAGGCTTCAGTAGAAGCTGCTGGGAGTCCCAGCAGCTTCTACTGAAGCCAGTCCCCAACTCCGGGGACTTCCGGCCGCGGACTTCGGGTGGCAGTATACGCCGTGAAGTTGTTTGCGGCCTGCCAGTAAACCCAAACCAGAAGAAGAAGAAGTGACGTCAGCGGCTTCATTTGCCTAATCCTCCCCCAGGGACTTATTCCGGTGTGAACGCGATCTGTACTTAGTTCATGAGAACTAAAGAGTTCTCATGAACTAAGTTCTCATGAACCTTTGTGGGAAAAGTACTGCGGTGTGAAAGCGCCTCTTGACCCCTGCCTTAGCCTCTTAAGCCCTGAGCCTGTTTTTCAGGTCTCAGGCTCGAAAATGACATTCCCAGAACAAATGACCATATCTTCCCTTCTAAAAGGGTTAAATGAATAATCTTTATTCTCAAAGTAATGATAAACCTGTGAGTTGGATGTAGAAAAGTCAGAATCAATATAGATGTTTTTTATTTTAAAGAAAATTCAGATTTTACATAGTAAAAAACTGTAAATTATAGTGTCCGTCCAAAAATTATTTTTTACTTATAGTGAAAACTACCCTTGGATGATGGGTTAGTAGACTAAAAGCTTTAGGAATCCAAAGTACAACATATAATAAGTACCCTGTATCAAGATTGATGGAAAACAAGTGAAATTTGACCTTTTTAGAGAGATTTAGCCAAAAACCCCCACTTCTGGGGTCATTTGGGTGGATTTGACCTATCTCTGGCCCCCCTTGCTCGATTTTAATGAATGAAATCTCTTTATAACCGCTAGAGCCAATGGAATCGAGGGAAAGTTATATACACACCAAAACGTTAAATAAGGAGTGAGAGTGACGCGTTACCAAAACCGGAAGCTGCATACACTCTGGTGGCTACCATTAGCAGCTAACTTTTCCGCTCCGATTTTTAAATAAAAAATTGAATTATGGATTATAAATAATTTTTTAAAAGGCACAGGTACATTATCAACCTATGGATCAACAGTTGTAGATTTTTTTTTTTTCGTTTTAATGCCATTGAACACGTCTTTTGACCTAATTGACAGCTACGGTGAGACGATCTGCCGTAAAAGCTCCGTAAAGGTACGTGTTGTGATGTCTGTGTTTGCTTCCCCTGTCGCAAGTTCGGATCGCTCAGTGATGATACTATACCTAAATAATCAGTGGAGTCTCAGCTTTAATAGGCTATATTGTATGTGCAGCTACGATAAGTAATAAGGGTATCTTTATCTTGAATTGTGTGCCGCAGTGCGTTAGAATTTTTTCGCTCAGGGGTCATTTAGACGCTTCTTATGAGACTTGTGTTTTGTTTTGGTAAAAATGGTTCATATCTTCAGTTAGCTGAGATTCTTCCCGTTAATCTGGTGCTACACATTAATAGTTTCATAAATGTTAAGAAGCCCTGAGACATTATCTCGAAAACAAAACGGTGGGAGGGGTCCAATGGGGGGACCGCCGTGCTTAAGAGGTTAGAAAGATAAATTGCTTTCAAAGAGGCCACCTAATGAAAAACATAAACAAAATAAATATATTCTCTTGGATAGACTTGAGAGCTAAGAGCATGTGAACATTTACTTTTGCAGTGAGTTAAAAGGACGTTGGGTCCAACTAACTTTAACAGTGAGTATTGTCTTTCTATTTCCATAATCAAAGGGTAGTATTACTTCAACATGGCTAGGAACAGTTGCAAAAATGGAAAAGCACCTGTTTTCCAAGAAAATCTATTTACTTGTACACCAATAGTCCACCGAGGAAATGTACTCCTAATAGAAGAAAATTAGACCATTATCCGTCACAAATGAAATCATCATATATTCATTTTCCTAAGAAAATGGCACCTCCTACATCAGAGGGGACATGACTCAGATCTAGAATGTGTGCTTTCCATGCATTTGATGGGATTAACATCAAGTTCATAATGAATGTTTCTGCCTTTTCCTATCGACACATTAATTGTTCACTTTGCTAAAAACAATCTACCTGCTGAGCATTTTAATCTATCAGACATAATTACAGAGCCGAGAACCGTGACAGAGTAATATGACGTTTATGAGCGAATCATCAACATGGATTAGGTAGTGAAATACACTTACAGGCCTATTTAACCTTACCCTGACAATGAAATGTAAAACATCAAATCAAATTGTATTTATCTAGCCAGATTTGACTTAGGGGCTTTACAGTCTGTGATGCATATAACATCTTCAGTCCTTAAACCGTTGCAGTGGCCAAGAGAAACAATTAGAATGAATGGGGGTGGTAGCCTGATCGTTAAATGATAGATTATATATTTGAAAATGTTTGGTTGGACATACAATTAATAGGTTATAAATCTCGACTGATACAAAGAAGGGCTAAAATAACTACTATAAAATATGACCAATTAAAGAATACAAATGATGACTGTATGACTTATTACATTATTGGTAACAGGCATAGATTTATGACCTCATTCGAATGTAAAGTCATAATTCCCCAAAAGCTCTTTAATCGTGAGTCGGCTTGTTTTATCACATATTTACCTTACATATAGACCGAATATGTTAAATGACACAACCTAGATTGTTTTCGTTTCCTTTCTTAAGATTATCTCTATGATACTGACTACCAACTGCATTCTGAATGCTAGACAGAACGCTGTGTTTCCCAAAAGGTTGTGTATAGATCAGACTACAAATTGTAAGCAGTCAATATGCATACTGGGAGTGAAGCAGTCAATCAAAGTGTCACAAGTAATGTTTGTGACTGATTAAGTATCTGACTTGGAATTGATTTACTGACATTTACCAAACACTGACTGGTGTGTGTGTGTGTGTGTGTGTGTGTGTGTGTGTGTGTGTGTGTGTGTGTG